AGCTAGTTCTGGTTCCGAAAGTTCTTCCTCAAGGCACGATTAATACGCGCCCACTTACAAGCAAGAAAAAGCAAGCAATAAATTAGCAAGCATTTTTTGAAGGTTTCAATCTACAGTAGATACATTATCAGTAAGTGTACCTAATTTCGATTGTAGATCTATATTTCGTACTCGATTAGATCAAATATAGCTTCAATTCGCCGACAAATGGATGCGCTGTACAGAATTTTTCATCGTCTGTGTGATATACTCGAAGGGTGTGGGTGTGGTTGTGGGTGTGGGGTATGGATGTGGGTGTGGTGTTGCTCTTGTTTGCAGCCACATGCACACTCACATTCACACCCACCTCCACACCCACCTCCACACTCACACTCACACCCACACCCTAATTATTTCTTTTTTTTGAGGCGAGAATAGGGTGAGACTGAGAGAAGTGAGTGTTAGTAGTGAGAGGGCTGAGTCATGTCCGTTGAGATTAGGTTCGCTTTATAAGAAGAACTTCTGGGTAGTTCCTGAAAGCTCGGCCAGGAACTGTCTTGGTGTCCATGGCACACGATCGAGCCCCTAGACTCGCTGACATATGACATCGGACAGGTGCATGTGGATGATGTGGATCTTCCCGCGCGTGCATGCGCATTACGCTCGCCACGGTTCCACCAGGATGGTTCCTGATCACGCGCGTGCGAATAGAATAGCTATTAATTCCTTTTTTCATTCAATCACGATTTATTTGTAAAAGAAAGAGAACAAAAAGATAAAATTAATCACCGCATTGAGTTTATTCAATATTAAATTTTTGGAATAGGTGTCAAAAGGTCGAAAGTCAAAAGGTCGAAAGTCAAAATATCGAAGAGGCAAAACATCGAAGAGGCAAAATATCGAAAAAAAAAACGTCGAATGGCATAATGTCGAAGGAAAAACGTCGAAAACTAAATGTCGAAAAGGCAAAATATCGAAAGTCAAAAAGTCGAAGAGAAAAATATCGAAGTACAAAATGTCGAAAATTTTCTAATCTGTACCAAAGAAAAAAAATGACTCATACACATATCCTATTCGTTCTATTACATTATTGTTGATAAATTTCTTCATAAGGGCATATGCATGTATGTAAATTTTTCCTTTCTTTCGTCACGGCCTCAACTAGTGTCTTTCTTTTCGCTCATTATCTATTTTTTCTTACTATCCGTCCATGTATATCTCTTTCTGACTATATATGTGGATATAAAATCATTTATCGTATTGTAATACATAAGTATTTATTTTATTCATCTTTTCATGTCAACAAGTATTTATTTTATCACAAGCAACAAGGGAAAGCCCCTTTTAGTATATGATGGTTATCTGTACAAGTTGAATAAAGCAACTGAGAAAGTGAAATATTGGACTTGTCAAGAACGTACGTGTAGTGCTAGTGTTCATACAGATTCTGATGATCAATTTATAAAAAGTAAAGGTAATCATGGTAGTCATTTACCATCACCCGAGGAAATAGAATGGAGAATGTTCAAAAGTGTAGTTAAAAAAAGAATAAAAGAAGAATCAATTGCAATTGGTTTAATATATGATCAAGAACTTGCTCGTGCAAATTTTTCTCAAGCTGGTCTAGCAGTTAGTTTATCATCACAAGAAGTTAGTATGTTACATATCTCTGTGATATTTACTATTATTTTATTTTTTTAAATAGAATCATCACTTAATAAACTTCATCGTAAAACAACACCTATATTACCTGATTCAAGTGATTTTGATATACCAGATTTATATTCAACAACAATTGATAGTCAACGATTTCTTTTGGGAGATCGTACTTATCACAGGAAACGAATTCTAATATTCTCGACTGATGAACAATTAACTGTGCTTTTTAAAGCAAAACAAATTATGTTGGATGGTACATTTGAGGCCTGTCCACCTTATTTCGAACAGGTTTATACACTTCATTGTATTAAACATGGAAAAAGTATTTTTTTTTTATAAAAAATATTAACATATATCTATTTTGTTTAGGTTTTCCTTGTGTAATAGCTTTATTAGGTGGTAGATCTACTAATATTTATAAACAATTATTTAATGAATTAGAAAATCATGCAACTCGATTACAACTCGATGATCCTACAGCTATTTTATCTGATTTTGAAAAAGCTTTACTTAAAGCTGTTCGAGAAAAAGTAATTTTTTTCATAAATTATCTTCAAACGCAATTTTTTCTTAGTTTCCTCAAGCAACACATCATGCGTGTTACTTCCATTTTTGTCAAGCGGTTTACCGCAAAATTCAAAATCTTGGTCTAGCTACACATTATCGAGATGATGAACATATTCGTGATACATGCCGTCAATTAATGAGTCTTGCCTTATTACCTTGTCGAGAAGTTGAATTTGCATTTGAAGAAATTGTTTCAAAAGCACCACCACTTCTTCTTAATTTAATTGATTATTTTCGAAACTTTCGGTTTCGACAAATGCCTGTAAAACTTTGGAACGTACATAATCTTGATATACGTACCAACAATTACGCCGAAGGTAAAAGCTGTACAATAATACAGATAATAGTCATGATTTTCTTCTATTTTTGAATAGGTTGGCACAACAGGTTTAACAGACGTATTAATAAAACTCATCCTAATATTTGGCACTTCATCTCAACTTTAAAACAAGAAGAAGTGTATTTTAGACAACAAATTCTTCATATGAAGAGTGGAAAAAATAAAAATAGGTCGAAAAAAGTTTGCGCGATGCAAGATAGGCTTAATGCACTTTCAAGTCGATTCGATAATCAAGAAATTGATGTTCAAGAATATTTACATGGTTTATCTTTCTTTGTTGCAAAAAATGTGAAAAATAAAAATTAAATTCTTTATTGTATGTGCACATTTACTTTTTTCTTGTGTATTTGAATTAAAATATAACAATTTTTTTTTCATCTATTTTGCTTCTTCTTGTGTTCAACAACAATACAAAGATCTAGATCTTCTTCTATTTGACAGACGTAAAATAATAGACAATGCACTACTAGAAAATTTCCCGGTGCTCTCATTCATATTCAACATTTTCGATATTTTGCTTTTCGACATTTTCTTTTCGACATTTTTACATTTCGACATTTTGCACATTCGACATTTTTTTTTCGATATTTTTGGATTTTCGACGTTTTACCCTTTCGACATTTTGACTCTTCGATGTTTTTTTTTCGACGTTTTTCCTTCGGTATTTTGCTCTTCGACGTTTTGAATTTCGGTCTTTTGACACTTTACCAATTTTTGTACTCGATTATTGTTGATATCGACGACATAGAGATTGCCATATCGATCGTATGTTAAACCAACGGGCTCATAGAGTTGAGTCGACTGTGCTCCTTTACCGTTTCCACCAACAATGACACTTCCTTGTGTGGCTTCTTTTGGTCAACGCATGATTCGATGATTCCCAGAATCAGCCACATAGACAGTACCCAATTGATCGACAACGACTCCTTCAGGTTCATTTAATTGTGTAAGACTATTTCCATATCCTTGACCACCGGCTACGACAATGCCTTGTTTTGCACCTTCTTCCCATTTCATTAAACGATGATTTTCCCAATCAGACACATAAACTGAATGATCTCGATCGACAAATACATAGTGAGGTTGGGAGAGTTGATTGAGACGATTTCCTTGTCCATTGCCACCTGCAACCACTGTTCCTTTAGTGTCACCAATTCGATATCGTCTCACTTCATGTTTTTCATTGTCAACGACATAGAGAGAACCATTCTCATTCATTGTCAAACCGGCACAAGAGATATTCGAAATAATTGTTTCTCCACTAGTACCATTTCGACGAGGCCATCGAACTACCCTTTTATTGCTGTAGTCGCTGATGATGAGACTATCTCTCTCTTTGTCGATACTCACATCGAGTAGGTCGTTTAACTGATGAGCTCCATTTCCATCACCATTTCCACCAACAACTACTTTTCCATTCGTTGCACCATATTTCCATTCCACAATACGATGATTCCAACAATCAGCAACATAAATCGTTTGATCATCGTCGACGCACAAACCCCATGGGAAATTTAGTTGATTGGTTCCATTGCCATATCCATTTCCTCCAGCTACAGTGATACCATTCTGTGCCCATTTTGCCTTCGAATCAATATCAGTTGAACTTGCACGTAGTGGTACTGAAATAAAACAAAAGTATAGAGTAGAAATAAATATCGATTTCATTAAAATGAGTCATTGTCATTTGTTTTAGACAGTATTGAGCTGTTCTCAATTACAAAAGCTTTTTACTTATGAACTTGTTTAGAAGCTGATTTTCTCAATGTTGAAAACAAATATTGTTGATTTTTTTCAAATATTTTGTGTAAGAATCCTTAGTTTGACTAAAATTAACTAAGATTTAACAGGTAACGTGAACAATTCGATGAACTCGGGTTTTGTCGTGAATGAAATTTTCTTTTATATCGAATTTTTCCAACATATTCACTGATTTCGTTAGTTCAGGTTTGAAATATATTTAGATTTTGTGTCATCAATTTAAAAATCATTTCATCTTTTTGTTTGGATTTTGCAATAAAATGGGTTATAATAGAAATTGAACGTGAGTAAAAATAATCGAATTATTCAAATAGTTCTTTGAAAAATAACGTACGATGGAAAAGTAATGGTAGGAAATGTTGATTCTTATTTCTCTTCGAGAGACATGTGCTGAAACAAAACTTTTTTTTATCAAAAGACAGAGCTTTTTCTCCTCTTTCGAACAATGTATGATTTATGTTCGTGACACATTTCTGAGTGAAATGCGACAAAGAAGAAAGACAAACACTGGTGCAATAAATTTGCAACTTTTATATGAATTTATGAAAAACATCGTGCTAGATAATAATTCATTTGATCTTTCCACACTCATTAAAAAGCCCTTGTATGTGACAAATACAAATCATACACCATTCGAAAGTATTTTATGCCATTAATTTTGCATCATACGTTAAGTATTGTCTTATTATTGAGTAATTTTTCTATATTCAATCGTTCTATCCATAATTCGATCGATCACTTAAATAGGATTGAATGTTTGTTTGATTCATGAATCTCAAACAAACAAATACATATCGAACCAATCTATTGAATTTAAACAGAACTGAACAATAGATTGTTTTTAATTGTTTGTAGAAAGACTATTCGAAGTGCTAAATAAGATAAGTTAAGATAAAAAATACGTAAGTTCAAAGTTTAGTAGATGAAAAGAACTCAAAAAAAAATCTCTCCGATTTAAGTTTCAACGATGAATGAACTATTGTATACAGTTAAAATATTCGATTTGGTTGATGTCTTTGTTTGAAAAAGCAAATTTCTGTCAATATAGACTAGAGTCATTGAAAAAATATCAATAATTTTCGTAAGTAAGTTCAAGAATATTTGAAGAATCTGTCATGTTCATTATTTTTACTGTAGCACAAACAAATGAGCTATATACGAATCATCAAGTCTTTTATTCTGAATTCATATCTAATGTATCACAAATTTTCAACTTAAGGAGCTCCCCCCCTCAGGAATCGTTTTTCATTATTCGTGGACCGATTTGTCTGAAATTTTTAGGCAATATGGATGTTGTGTTAACTCAATTTATTGCAAAGTTTTGGCTCACAAAGTTTTTACTTTAAAGAGTTATTGACAAATTAGTCCCCAAAATGGTGGTTCTCGTAAGGTACCGATTTCTCGAACTGCCAAAGACGTAGAGAGCTACTTTTTTTTTAAATAAAAGAAGAAACCTATGTGTAGAAATGTACATACCGGTTTTTCGAAATTCGATTTTGTTCGAATTTCCGAGACATTCTACTGCAAGAACTCGGAATTTAGCGCTTTTTGACATCAGTGTTATCCAGTTATCTCTGCAAAGAAATCGAATTTCGAAAAAACGGTATGTACATTTCTGTTGTCGGCACCAGAATTAAATAGGGGTGGGTGTAGAACGAATATCTCGAGAACAGCAGTAGCTAGCGACCTGCGACTTTCACCAACTGAAAGAGTAGAAGTTGGGACGTCTTTTTCTCCGATAATGTATAAGACAAAATCCTTTTAAAAGTAATCATCTTCGAAAAACATGCAAAAGAATGCATGAAAATGACCTTTCATCTAGATGAAATTTTGTTTTTGCCCTTTGATTTAGACAGAGGGACTTGAGATCTATAGTTTAAGATACAATTCAAATGGTTCTCCTATTGCATTCTAACATTGAGCAAATGGAATCATGTATTTACATGCGGAACTAATAGGGAATTTTACTGATTTTTTACTAAGTTTTCACACTTTTTCTTATAATAGCGTGGATTTTCCATAAAAATGTAATGAAAAGTAAAAAAGCGCATTGTATCTTAAACCATAGATCTCAAGTCCCTCTGTCTAAATCAAAGGGCAAAATCAAGATTTCATCTAGATGAAAGGCCATTTTCATGCATTCTTTTGCATGTTTTTCGAAGATAATTACTTTTAAAAGGATTTTGTCTTATACATTATCGGAGAAAAAGACGTCCCAACTTCTACTCTTTCAGTTGGTGAAAGCCGCAGGTTGCTAGCTACTGCTGTTCTCGAGATATTCGTTCTACACCCACCCCTATTTAATTCTGGCGTCGACAATAGACATAGGTTTCTTCTTTTATTTAAGAAAAAAAGTAGCTCGCTAGCTCTTCTACAGTCTGAGAAATCGGTTCC